GCTCATACGGCCCTCAAGGTACTGTAGGGCCAGTTTTTAACCCGAAAGACTCTGTTCTGTGAGTCGATTGGCTAATCGCACTACCATAAATACCAGAAATATTAATATAAATTATAATTGGATAACCACTGAAGTTAATATAATCTCGTTAGCAGGATCATCAATGGTACAATCTTTGTCTTATGAAATACTCAAAAGTGTTGAATTAATTGTTTTCAATTATTGTAATATTTTTGTTTTCTTATGCGAATCAATTACTTCGTCCATCACACAAAATGCCAATGAAAAATTCACAAAGAGCTTTACGCTTCTCTTTAAAATAAATATAATATATATGTACATACATATATAACAGTAAAAAGTCACTTTAATGGTTCCATTTTACTCAGAAAATCAATTTCTCTATTCTGCATAAAATTCAAAAATTCACTCTCTATGTACATTTGTATGTATGTACTCGTAAGCGTGTGTGTTTGTATGTATATATGTATTGTATTTTGGCATGATTTTGTTATGCTAACTGTAAAACGATAAGCTAAGGACTTAACAAAGTGGAAAAAGATTAAAAAAGGCAACATTTGTATTGTGTTGAGCCTAAAATAACCAATAATATTAAGGATTAAATTGTTGGTGTTGTTGAAATTATTTTATTTGGTTTGTTTTTGTTATTGTTACTACAATACAACCAAGAGATGTCAGCCAAGAGTTCGTCTTGTTTGCTTCTGTTGTAAAGGCATGCAAGCGAGTGTGGAAATGCGGTCGAATATATGTTGAGATATATTCATAAGCAAATAAATATAATAAAAGTAGCAGACCCGTCCACACGCGTTGTGGATTTCTATATTTTGTAGAATTTTTATTCTTTTTGATATTGCAAAGACTGACAAAACCCCCGTTATCAAGTATTATATAATACCAAATAATAAGTTGTTTTATTATATTCCTCGCTGCCGAAAGTCCGTCACGTAAATTGCAATCGGATGGAGGCTAGAACCCGTAGCCGCAGAATAACAACATTGAGCAGCGCTCATACACACGATCTACGCCTTGCATAAAAAATCTTTGACCTTAAACATTTTTTTGTTTTTAAAAAAAAAAGTAGAGTTTGGTGGTATAAAAGGTAAAAATTTGTGTTTGTGTGTATTTTATAATGTCACATCATAAACAAATTAAAAAAAAAAGTTTGTTAAAAAAAAACACAAAAAAAATTAGGGGTTTGAAAAATAGATGTTCTGTTATTCTCAGATATACATAAAATATCACTAAAACCAGTCAAGCCGTTTCGGAGGAGTATCGTGTCTAACACTGTGACACGAGAATTTTATCACTTTTTTTATTAAATATTAATTATTGAGACTATTAATTTAAATAATAGCTCTCCTCTCATCAATAATAAGATTTTTATTAGGTTCTTATGTTTTTTCATTTCATTATTATGTTAAAACGAATGAAAAAGAATGAAAAGTTTTCACATATTTTCACATATATAATAGAAAAGGTTTTTCTATTTAATAAATTTCAAGTAAATCGAACCATATAAAATATAAAATATATTCTAAATTCATTGACAAGCGCAAAGAGCCATCTATGTCCCACATATTAAGCATTGCCGGACCAACGAATCGACCCCAGGCTCACTAACCGAAAAATAAAGAATGCAAAGTATAAATTTAGTCAAAGAGCTGCTTATGTATATACGAATGTCATGAACCGTCAACAGATCCATTTCCCAGAAAATCCTTTCTTATCGGATGCCTAGGGCATACGCAGAACACACCCACCAATTTTCAAGTCTCTACACTTTGATGGCGAAAATCATCGAAATCGGTAAATTTCACAATGTAGACCTACACAACCGATTTGTTCTGATAGGATAATTATTGCAAACTTGACATTTTTCGAGGGGTTACCGGAAATGACGTCACATTTGATTATTTTTTACAAAAAAAAAAACATTTGAAAATATCCTCTTTTCTCCACAATAAACCCAGGAATGCGCGGCTATTACATTCTAAAAAATCGATTTTCTAAATCAAATATGGTTAAAAAATACTTTACTGTTGTGAGTGTAGGTTGTTTGAAAATGCGGTGCGTATGAACCACCCTACTATGTATATACTCTTATGTTTCATCTTGTTATCAGCAACATTGTAGCGGCTTGTTCCGCTTGAGTTGTTGGGCATTACGCACTAAAAACTACAAGAAAGCACGTACTTACACACGTGATTGAGCAAACATACATATATACGTACCATTGTTAATGCGTGACCGCACTAAACACTAAGAGCTGCTTACACGTATGTAAGTGTATATATGTGTATGCGCACGAAACTCCAACCAACACCACCCACACCATCCATTTAGGCGACTGCAAACCTTTTTCACTTTCACGCTTAATGGAACAAGAAGTTGTTTGTATTTTATAGTGAATTACCTGCTGTTCACACATACACACACGTACACAGACAACTTGCCAAGTGCCAGACAAACCGTGCTCTTCTATGCACGTATTTTGTGTTTTCATAAATATTTAATTTTTTTTTCTGTTATATGAATAGCCGCATATGAAGGTGAGCGGAAATTTATTTAATCGCTTGAAAATTTTGTTAAAAATTTTCCTTTTTTTTTTTTGCAATTTTTACAAAGTGAGCATTTTCTAATGGCTCATCACAACGCAAAAAATTTCGCGCTATCTACTAATCAAAATTATATCAAAAATAAGTGAATTTATCCAAAAAATGAAAAAATAAATCCAAGCATTGCTTTCGCTGTATGAGCCTCTATCATTTCACTGTAAAAATCTTTGTTTTAAATTCAAAAGAAAAAAAAGAAAAAGAAAAATTCGCAGTCACCAGCATGCGCTGCGTTGGCCAATGAATTGCAAAAGGCAATTTCTATAGACGCATTAGAAAATAAAATACATAATAAAATTAAGTGGCTTGCGTGCATCAGCAAAAAAAATCCTTTTTATGCATTTGAAGTTAATAAATTTACCTTTTTTCTGTTTGCAACGTCAGCACTGTTGCCAGACAATGATGGTTTTAATTTTATTTTTTTCACAATTTCCCACATTTATCATCGTCTCATGATTTTTACGGATTTTATAAAAACCAACCTACGTCAATAAAGATTTATTATATATCAGCGTTGTTCTTAGGCTCATAAAGGATATGAAAATTCGTGACAATTCGAAAATTTGAGAGTTACCCATTGAATGATTACATACAAATACCGTCATATAATTAATGTTACCCTGTTTGGAGTGGGTGAACACAATTTTTATGAATATGAATATGCATGGTTTCAGTTTAGGTAAAAGATTTTTGAGCATACAAAATTGAAAGCAAATCGAAAAGCTTCTAACTGTTATTCTCCTGAGCTTTCTGGTTAATTCTAAGAAAAAGGAATCCAAGTCACAGGCATGAAATAAAAGCTCCTGCTTCCACAAATGGAAGAAGGAGATCAGCCGAAAATCACTTCAGCAAAGAACACTGGTTAGCCAGTACATCGCAAATCGTGAAAATAGATCGACTTGCAAGCTGTCAGGAGATGGTAGAGTAAAGGCTGCTTACACAAAGAAATAAGATGTTTGGATGGCACATAAATTAATGCAAAAAATATTGAATGACCGAATTTTGAACAGTGAAGCGATTCTGCGATGCGACAAGCCTGAGCTATCCGCCACGGTAGATTTAAATTTGGTTAGATACCAGAATTAAGGTTGGCAAATCTTAACAAACGACATGAAAGCCTGAATTGACGGCAAGCAAAGTAATGCTGAGTGTATGGATGGACTATTGAGCCTTTACAGCCTTGTCGAAAAGCCGCTGAATATTATTTAGACATAGAAGTTTGCCACTAATGGAATTATGAGCTACCCGAAAAATCGGCAAGAGTCATTTATAATAATGAGATTACAGTAGATTTGCTATACAGTAAAATTTGGTTCAAAAATACACAAGAAACCGTTTACTGCTATTGAGCTTTCTTCAGTTTGGCTAGTTGATTTACCAAATATGTCTTTCACTTGTCCACTTTTTGGATGCTTGGCAGACTTTAGTGCTGTAAATGTAACTTTACGAAGTTAAAGCAACATCAGTCAGCTTTTTTTCCGCTTCCATTGGAACATTATTACGGACGAAGACGAAAACAGAGAATAAGCCCACTGAAAGTCCATGCCAAAGCTCATTTTGATTCCCACATTTCAAAATTTTCTGGCTTAAAAAAACAAGAGAAATAATAAATTTCAATTATGTTCCTCATGCCAAATTTTGTTAAGCCTTTTTTGTGGTGAAGAAAAGTTGATTCTCATTTGCAAAAGCATAGGAAATGTCGGTAGAGCACGAGAAAGAGATTAGAAACTGAGTAAGCAGAAAAATTGCGTACAACACGAGTAAATGAATATGAGCATGCACCTGTCAATTCGTCTTAACCGATGCGTCCATGCAAGAGAGAACGTACTTCACACAGACACAAACGGAAGATGTTTACAGAACTATTTTCAAGTATCTTGAAACATTTTGTAGATAAAATTTTGATGTTTTTATTTCAGAATATTTGGAATTCAAAAACTTTCAGTTAATCTTATCAGCTGTATTTTAAAAACTTAAAAAGATATTTTTACTAAATTTTTATTTAAATTTTAATTAAAGAAAATATACATTAAATTAAATAATATCAAAATCAGAAATTAAATTATATCACAAAAAAAAAATGAGTTTTTGACAGGAATTTTAAATAAAAATTACTTTAAATAATTTAGTTTTGTTGTAAAATTTTTCATTAGATTGGGTTTTTATATTCAAGTGACTAGTTTTGAAGTTTCTCTTAAGTTTCTCCAGCCATTTACGATTTTGATTTGACATTTCCTTGTTAAAATTCAATCAGTTTCTTTAAACAAAAAACTTCAGAAAAATATATTTAAATTTATATATACATATATATAGTAATATTTCCCCCACACTGGATATTGATGTTTGTACATGCCATTTAACACTTACCCTGGTATACCGCCACTTTCCATGTGGTTGGCCAGTGTCACATCATTCGACCACACATCAAATTGCCACTTGACCAAACCGAGTACACCACAATGTACACGTCCGGTGTGTATGCCAACACGCATATTTACATTGACAGCCATCACTTCACGAACAAGACTGAAATTCGTAGCAAAATACATAAATAAGGAAATAAAAAGATATTGTGTGAAAACTTTTTAGGAGTTTTACAAAAGATATGTGAACACAAAAAAATAACAATAACAATTATATAATTCAAAAGAGATCTCATCTATTAAGATTGTGAAATATATTAACGTGGACTTTTACTAAATTTTACAAGAAAAAAATTAAAGTTTGTGTTACAAAGTAATAATAAATTTCTTCGAAAAGCGAAAAATTCCACTTAAGTAAATCTGTGTAAACGAGTAAGTGCGAAAAAACGAGTAAGTGCGAAAACGTGTTCAAGCGCCTAAATGTATGTTGCAATTTTCTTTCCCTTCACGAAAATTAATTTTCATACTTTAATTTTTCTGCTTCTTTTTTTTTTTACTAAGAAAAAATGTTGTTCAACATTTATGAGCTTCTTTTGCACTTACGCTATGGCATCAATCATGTCCAAGCCCATTTCAACGGCACAGTGTGCATGATCCGGTCGCGGCTCTGGCAAGCCGGATACACAATAATAGCAATCGCCCAAAAGTTTAATACGCAGACAATGATGCTCAGCAGCCAATCGATCAAATCTATGGATTTAGAAAGAAAGTGAAGAAAAAAGTACTTGAAAAGATTTGATATATAAAAACGTATACGAGTATGTATGTACGTTAAGGCACATCTCCAACACGAATTTTAAAAGTAGGCAGAAAGTGTTTTCTATGTGTGTAAGAAACAACAAAATTCAAGGTCAAACTAAGACATAAGGCAGACATTATTTTTCGGTTTACCTATTTGGGTAAGTTATTAGATTTAGTGTCTATTTTTTTTTTAAATATATTTATTTTACCTAAATTTGTATAAAAAAATCTTAATTTTTGTTAATTTTTTATTTTAATTTTAATTAATTTAATTTTATTTTATTTTGTATTTATTTTTCATAAATTTTACTGCAAATTTTCGTAAACCTTTTTTGAATTTTTTTATTTTAATCCATTTGATCTTTAAAATGGGTTTTTTAAATTTCTTTTTACTCCTTCCCAGTTCAGTTGTTGCGCCCCTCAGCGATTCAAATGATTTTCTCATTGCCACAGAATTTTCACAATTATTAATCACTTTCCAAAACCTCAGGTTGGTGATTATTTTTAAATGCAAATACATATATTTGGCTAAAGGAATCATATGGGACCTACATATTATTATTAATGTGCACACCTGAATCAATTTAGTAACAATTTAGTTTAATTAAAGGTTATTTCATGCCATTAAGCTTTAGCAATTAATTATATTTCCTTGAAAGTGATAAATCGTTTAGGTATTTTTGAGGGTTGCTTATGTCACACAATTCTCGCCTGTCAATAGACACAAACAATTGAAGTTTATGCAAGGCCTTAAAAGCATGGAAAAAATCTTTGAGTTGGTTTTGCTTAGGATGTAAAACTAAAACACTAAAAACACTGTTATCATATTGTGTACATATAGGTATATATTTGTTCGTTTTACCTGGCAAATAATTCATTAAGCAATCGAACCAACTCCTCAGCAGTACATTGGTCAGAGAGGCTGGTGAAGCCGCAGATATCCGCAAAAAGTATGCTAATCATAAGAGAGAAGGAAATATAATTTATTAAATGAATTAGTCATTAGAATGAATTAACAGAAAACATATTTTATAAATATTTAACATTGTGATACATAAAATATATATATTACATAAAATTCTCCTGTCACGGCGTTAGACACGACACTCTTACGAAACGGCTTAACCTATTTTAATGAAATTTCATGTACATATTCAGTAGATCTGAGAATCGGCCAACATCTTTTTTTAACACCGAGAAGAAGACCTGAGTCTGATCTATTTGAAAATGGCATCATTTGTTGACTTAAGCTGAAGCTTTGTTAAAAGGCACACACGTGCGTATACGGGATCTGCTTCCTTGTATTTACGTGCGCAAAAGCCGAGCAATTCCACAGCGTGCGCTATGACAATTGTCATTTCAATGAATTATGCAGAACAGATATATTGTATTCAAGTGAGAGAAAAAATAACTCTCAGAGAAACCCTTACGTTCCTAAAAATCTATTGTTTGTGCTGAACTTATAACGGCTCGACCGAAATAAAATTCAACTATATCAAGAGAATCTCGGGGATCGATTCAAGCAGGATAATTTTAGCTACCAATCAATTCTATTGAAATTTCATTTGTTTGTAGCATATCGTTTAGATTAACATGGAGGAACTGATTCTTAATAACCTTAATCGCAATTCGCTTGTTTTTTTTTTTGTTCTTTCGTATGGGCTGCTTGAGCTTTTCTTATCTGAAGCCGCTTAATTTAAGTAATTTTATGAAAATTGTCCATGTTGGCGTGTGGACAAACTATCTTGTTTGGGTGTTCTTGCTTGGTGCTGATCGAGCTCATTCAAATAATTCACATTCATATTTAAACTATATACAGATATTTTGTTATCATTTTTATAAAGGATTAAAATTTACATATTCTCATAAACTGGTTATTTTAATTTCTTATGAGATTTAAATAGCCAAACTTAGCTTCCTTTATACCTTCTGAAGACAAGTTTATATTGGTAAATATCTAGCTGCCCAGAAATCCTTAACAAATCGTGGTAAATGTTAAATTGACTGGAAAAATCATCCGTTTATATTTAGGCAATAAAATAAGTAGCAAATCAGCTGAGAGCACATAAATAAGCTATTAACAAGACGACATGACTTTCAGTTTATACACACACTAATACGTACATACGGGTGTATATAGAAGTCCTTTATGACAGGGCATTTACAGGAAAATAATGTGTGTTAACCAAGTTCGGAATGTACATAAACCACTCCCCAACTTTAATACGTTCACTTGCCGGAAATAAGCTTCCATTAGAGAGTATCTGAATTGAAAGTTGATTAAAAAATTTTTTGAAAATAAAAGAAGTCAAAAGTTTTGTTTTGGAATCTTTTTTGCAATTATTTATTTTAATTTTATATTACTTTATAATATTTCAGTTTATTTAATTTTATTTACTTCTCTTTCATTTATTATATTGTATTTAAATCTGTTGCATTCTGTTTACTTTATTTAAGTATAGTTCTTTTGTTTTATGTGATTTCCCTTTGTCGTAATATTTCTTTAATTAATTTTTTTTTAATATTGTACTTATTAAATTCTAATGTAATATATTTTATTTTAATTAGTTAACTTTATTTTATTTACTTTTTACTTATATAATTTATTTAATTTAATTAATTTTATTTTACTTTATTTTATTTTATTTTATTTTATTTTATTTTATTTTATTTTATTTTATTTTATTTTATTTTATTTTATTTCATTTTATTTCATTTTATTTTATTTTATTTTATTTCATTTTATTTCATTTTATTTCAACTTCTTTAATATCATTTCACATTATTTTATTCATTTTAATTCATTTTATTTAATTTATTATATTTTTATTTTATCTGATTTCGTATATTTTTATTTATTTGATCATTAAAACATATTTATTCCTTTGAAATTTGCTGGAAATGTGGCAATGTAGCTTCACACTCAGCTGTTATTTAGCCTCCCTAAAACAAGCATATATGCATTCGTGTATGTCTTCTGGCGACAAAACGACGACGACCAAATTACCTGCCTACAAACTTATTTGTTTACTTTTTCTTTCATGAGCACATTTGCCAGCAGTGTGTGTATGTATGTTTTTTCTTGAAAGTGGCAATTCAGAGAACAGGAAAAGCGCAATTCACATCGTAATCACCTTGACGCGAATTACTTTTTTGCGTTTTTTCATGCACTCAGCCCCCTATTCTCTCTCACCTTAAGGGGGCATACGAGTATGTGGGTGTTTAAGTGTCATAAGTGGGCGTGTTGCCCCGCGTAATAAGAGCTTAACTTGTTACAAATCAGTTGGAGGGTTTTCGTGGGCATATGAAATTATAAGAAAATTGATGTGATGCTAAAGATTTGCTACTTTCGCAGTTATGTCACCTGAGCTTATTAGTAGTTCTGTGATAGAAAAAATTTGTCAATGATGGGAGTTAAAGGTGAGAAAATATAATAATCAAATATTATTTTATCCGTATTATTTATAATGCTATGAGACTTGACTTGTATCTCTGCTCTTGAGAGCACTCATCAGCAATTCGGTACAAGGAGAGGACAATTGCAAGCGAAGATCAAGATTGAAGGGAATGTTGGTGGGATGCTCACAGCGTACCGACAAGGAGAAAAGACTGCCTGTCACGGCAGCAAATCGCAATGACTTGGGAGTGGTACCGAGAATTGCAGAGGGAAACGAGTCACTGTTGCAAACGAATAGCTTGATAAACTAGTCGACAGAGATAATACTTCAAAATTCTACGTGAAGTTTCGGCAACTTACAGAAGGTTTCAAGGCCAAAGCGTTTTGAACACAAAATTGTGACCTGGTGACCTACAATAAGAGTGTAATACCGAGTTAATGGAAGAAATACTTCTTCAGCGCCTCGAAATATGGTGGCAACACTGAGTTCCGCAGTCAATGTAACAATAAGTTGTACGAAATATGTGGTGACATTGACATAGTTCAGTGATATAAGAGGAGTGCTAGGTTACGTTGCTCGGCTGGAAGTAAATGCTTATGCTTTTGTACTATTCAATGCAGTATCTGCTGGGAAAATAAGGAATCAACTTGAAGACACTTCGTTTTCAATTCCATAAATTCAAATCCTGAAATGTCTTTTTGTATAACATACGCACATATATCACATTTAAAAAAAATTTCTTAAATTCTTTAAAATGATTTTAGTATAGATATGAATTTTGTATAACTTTTCCCCAATCCCTAAACTCACCTGACATTCTCGTGTCGTTGTATATAGATTTTGTGAAATTGCGTATCACGTGGCTGCCCTGCAATGTCGTCCTTCATTTCCATGGCAACGTGACGCGGCAGCACCGACAACAGCAAACGTTCCTGCGGCAAAATGCAAATACATAACACATATGAACATGAATCCAGTCATTTAACGGTGCAAAAACAAAGAGAAGAAGAATAAAACCAACTAAATGAAATTAAATCAAATTAAATTGAATTAAACTAAATTAAATATTAATGTGAGGCAAAAAATGTGTATGAATAATTGAGATGACTGAATGGCAAATGAGTTGAAGAGGATGGAGTGAAACACTTTTTTTTTTTTTTTAAAAAAAATCCTGCTTTGTAACAAAGTTTAAAAGGATGTCGAAAAGTGAAATTTTTATTAAATGTTTTAATGAAAAAAGTACTGTTTAAAAAGCAAATACACGGATCTATACGTTACTTGTATGAACACACACACGCACGCTGCTTCATATAAGAAGTTTGAGTAAAATTGACAAGCAAGGATGGGTCTGATGAAAACTGTTTGCTTATATTTGATTCTTTATAATTTTTTCTCTTCTTTTTCAGTTTTTTTTTTTTATTTTTTCTTTTGTTCTGCCTTCGTATGTGACATGTTGCGTGTTTCCTAAGTTTTATTATTTGCTTTTGCAACTTTTCTGCTTATGTCCTTATATGTTTTTCACGGTAACTTGACGACTTTTTCCACTTTTCGCGGATTTGGCTACAGACGACAATGCCGACTACATATAAACATACTGGCACATATACACAAAAATGTGCTTCAGTTTCATTTATTTATTTAATTTTTCGTTTGCCTTTGTTGACTTAAAAAATGCAGCAGAATTTTCAAAATTGGCGAAGTAGCAGTTAGTGCGCTTTTATATTTATACATCTACTTCTTATTTTATTTTATATTATTTCTTTTTTTTTTTATTACAGAATTATGTAAGAAATTCAATTTTTTAGAATTCTTTTGCTTGGCTTTTGTTATGTGGACTCAATGCCAGACTAGTTAAATTCTCTGACATTCTGGGAATTCGTGACGCGTTTCAAGGCAAATTTTCATACGATTTTCGTTTATGGGGTTAGAGGAAATGCATGTGGAAGATTAAAATACATATACTTTCTTTCATTTTTATCTTACTTAAACTTTTTTTATTTCATATAATCTACAAAGTCTGATACGTTTGAAAAGCAAGCACCATCAACGGTTTCTTGGAATTAAATGAGCTTCGTCTTTGATAACCACAGCGTAGAGTGCAATGAATTGACTTAAATAGCAATGCAAGGCCACAAACTCAAACGATGTATTCAGAATTTGAAGGAAAAAATCGAAAAGTAATAATAAGCTTTTCATAGAAAATTTTAAGTTGATAAATCACATATGAAAAATTTTAAATCAAACATGGTTTACGTTTTCTTCTTCTTTCTGTTGGTGTGGATAAGCTATGCCGAATTCCTGGCAAGCATATCGAGTGCCCTTAGCGCCAATAATACCCCTCTGCAGCAAACTCAAATGAGCGCTTAGGAGAGCAGCTCCAATGAGATTGGATATTCCGAACTGGATCATTTCATTTACTGATTGATCTTTCGAGACGAAAATGAGAAAATATGCATTTTAAAGGTAATATATTTCTTTTTTTTTTTTGGTCAACCATTTTTTGGAAATATGAATTTTTTTAATAAAGAAAACTAAGAATTTTTGAAAAAATTATTCGTACAAAAAGCTTAAGCAATAGATATACAGCCCAACGAATTTGTTTTCCAGTGATTTTATTGATTCGTTTAAAGGTGTTTTTTGTTCAGACAGGTGACTTCCAGGAAGAAATATGATGCATATAATTTAAACTAAGACCAAGAATTTAGCAGTTTTGTTAAGTTAAGAGTTCGCCAGTGGTATCATTAAAAAACAAAAACAAAAATGAGGGCATATCGGACTAGCACAAAGTCGCTTCTTTTTCTTGGCGTCTCAAGTTAACATAATGTTTCGTGAACTAAGAAGCAAGGACGGCGAGGTATTAGTATACACTGACGGCATCGCCCATATACCGACTGAAAAATAATACCAAGTTCTAATTGATCTACTCCAAAATATTCTTTGTCAATAACATTTTATAAAACATACCAAATGATTTCAACATTAAGGGGGTTTAGAGGAATCTCATTCGTAGGACTACCCAACGGACCTAAGTGTGCTCGATCAAGGGATCCCGCGACTGCTGAACCATTAAACCAACTAAATACTATGGGCAGCTGGGATAGCTGAGTAGTTATTACTGCGAACTACACCTCGGAAGGCCAGGGCTCGTGTCCTGGTCCGACCAATATCTAAAATAGTATAAATTAATTTTTCTAAATCCGATTGGTCCTCGCTAAGTAACCTCAGCCTCTCGGTTTTAATGATAGTTAGTATTCTCAAGCGGATATGCAAACGAAAGGTTTGCCGAAAATAACTCAGTTTCAAAATCACACAAATTTCATGTAATATAAGTTACATACATACACCACATACTCGTACATAGTTTTTTGTCTATATATGTACGAGTATATACGCTCTAAAATGCAGACCGAACATTTCGTTTCACATGAATTTGTAATTTGACGTGAAGGTCAAATTGTAATGTGAGTAGATGCACACAAATAAGTATGAATGCACATGTGTGTGTATATCTCTATGTATGTATGTACGTTGAGCTGTCGTTGCATGCAGTGCAATGGCAAACCGCAGATTTGCACACGACGAAGTGTTAACTATTGGGATTCCGCCCAACGGCAACAAATTGATGAATGTATGTATGTATGCATGTATGTGTTCTATGAAAATGATAGAAAACGAAAGCAAAGCTTTGAAGTAAAAACTAACAAAAGCCAACATATATTTGTGCACCACAATTGTTATACCGTTATTTGCAGTAAGCATCAGCACAGTACACGAAAACAAACACACACACCCGCACGCCAGGGGAGCAATGCACTAAAACAAAGAGTGTATGTATATATGTGGCTTGTCAGCTTACCAACCGCCAGCCGTCGGCGCTCAAAACAAACTATTGTAAGGGGAAAAAAAGCCACGAATGCAAAATGTAAGCGCCTGAACAGAGTAAAGAATGGAATCTATTTGTTGGGGCATAATTCAGAAATGAAGGAGTGCTGGAGTGTGGACCCTGCAGGTAATTGCAGCAGTCGACTGTTGCGCGGTAAAACTCGCGTAAATTCGACTTATATAATGAATTAATTAATTGAGTACCTTGGTTTCCGCATAAATTGACAAGAGTAGTCAATAACCAGACCAGAACTTGCGCCCATTTTATAACAGCTCTTTTTATGTCGACACATTAAGGAAAGCACAATGAAGCACGGTGAATTGAATCGATGTTGGTATCCCATTTGAGTACTACACATTGACGAGGTGACTATCTTTAGGATATCTCGTTCGAAAACTGAACTGAATGAGCTGATTGCAATAAGCCAGTGGCCGAGCTTCAGCCCAATGGAAAAAAGCTAACTTTGACGGATAAAAAGTTAATTTGTGGAATTCATAGAAATTTTCTATAACACATAATTGGTTTAAGTTACATATTCTAATGAGCCTACCCAATGGGTTAAGTACGACTGCATGCGATTAGATCCACAATCCGCTTTAACCAAACAAATTCTTCTTTCTCGATTTCCAACCTGAGTGTGATGTCAAACAGTGAACACTCGATCAAAAATCAATTTAAAACTCCCACCTCCTTCGGCTTAACAGAGTTTCTGTTAAACTCCCCCGACGAAGAAGCCATTATTCCGCTTGATCATGTCCAAAAAATATAAGCAGACTAAGCTCGGTAATGGCCGGGTGATTGGCATTCCGTCTAACATCCAAAAACTATAGAAAGTTAATTTTTCTTCCTACGGTCACCCCTCGACAGGGAATATTAAGCCTTCGGAGTGCATTTCTTACATGAAATGAAAATTTTCTCATAAAATTTCATCGGCGGTCGCTATACACAGTTCAGTAATACTGTATTGTACAATGTGGAATCTCGCGGTCTCGAATCCTCAGTGGATCAACATCCAAAGTTATGGAAGAAGTGTTTTTCTACACGCCGTCGCCCATCGGCCAGGAATAGCAGTCCTCCCGAATGTATGAATGTATATCTGGCAAAAAAATCTAAGGAATCTAATAAAAGCCCATCAGCCCTTCGGAGGCCGCTTAGAACAAACGTAGCCCTCTCCATTTGTCGCAAAATGATGTCAAAAAATCACACGAAAACAGTAGCAGAAATTCCCGAAAAAGCTTCAGTTGCCAATTTTATATACAAAACAACACATATATATGTATTGTATGAGTTTACTCTCGCTGGTAACAAATTCAAAGTCACACATTCTCTACCGGAAACATTCTCAAAATCAACAGGCCGTCTAGTTGACTGAATTCATGTTGACAAGTGGTGAATATGTGTGAAGTCAAAGTGACAACTAACCTCAGCAAACTTGAAGCACACACACACACTCGCTTCCATTCATACATTTGTACAATAATGAATAATGAAATCACTCACCTGTTGCTGATTCTCACGCTGTGTGCGTAAACGCGCCTCAATACATTGCCTTGTCTCGATAAACGCTTTCCGTTGCGCCTTCTCCTTCGGCCAATGTGTGTAAATGCCCGTCAAATTGGAGAGAAATAATGCTAAAAGGCTGCAGAACAACTGTTGCGATATAAGGAAAAAAATATATGTGAAGCAAGTAAATTGAATGAAAATGAATGAGAGTGAGAGTGAGAGCTTGTGGCTGGAGGGTTTTCTATTATAACAACTGGGATTCGCTGCTCCCAGCATTTGAAGATGCAAAAGAATGCATATATATAAAGCGATAAATATGTAGTAGACACATATTGGCTGAGAGGCGAAAGAAAAACAAACATAATAGCCTACATCGACGACTACATGTGGCATGCCACAAGCAATTGCAAACAAAAGTGCAGACGCTTTAGTCTTTCTCGAATTCTATTCTTATAGCAGTTTTTTCATTCGCTATAAAGGTTCAGCAAATATAACTCGCACATTTACAACTTTTCATTTTCTGCTGTTCATAAAAAAGTGTTTCTGCATGTGCGGCTCCCACATGTGCTCTACTAGGTTATTTTTATATATGTATATACTTATATTGGTATGAAGTTGCATGTAGCACTCTTCTCACAAGTGCATAAAGCATCCTTGAGTGCATTTATAGACATATATATGTGTGTTTTTTATTATATCTCCTCCACGTAGTACCCGTTTAACAGCCTTTACCATGCTTATTGTAATTTCCTGTCAGCTTCCATTGTTGCACAACTGTTTTGTTGCTGGCGGCAAATTTAATGTCTGCTCTTCACTTACTCTTCTTTTGTGCTGAGTTCATATAAATATATATGTATGTGAGTGTAGAATTATATTTTCAACTATATTTTTAAAGTTTTTTTTGTGGAGTATAAATTTCATCTTTCAGTGGCACTCAAAATGTCTACAACTTCTTTGTGTATGATAGAATCTCCTAATATTGTTCTCTATATAAGGATCGCATGTGGTATGCAATAGACGAGTGTGAATGCAATTCAATGATCGGTTATAATTTAATTTAATCGTTTTCCGTAAACAGTCCAAGGAAACTTATATTTGCAAGGCAGCAGGTATTAAAAAGTGAGCTTAAAACGTTGCCTACAACGAGACACACGACAATTTATTTTTATCAAAGACACACACCTCGCATTATAAGTATAAATAATTGGCGCTTTGTAGCCGTTTAAAGTGATTTCCGACTATTGCGGCCGAAATAGCGAACATCAAAAGCTGGCGAACAGAAGTAAATATTTATACATACGAGTAAACCCAAAATAGAGAGAACAAAAAAATTAAGAATTCTTTGCATTTCAAAGTTTCGTGAGAAAGAGATTAGGAGCAATAAAATAATGATAAAAATATTACCATATAATTTTATTCAATTATTGAAAATCAGTTGGGAACCTGTGAGAAAAACCAAATTAAATTGAAAAAAAAGCTACATTGGTTAAAACTAAAAGGAATAAGATGGCATACCGATGGTGAGCGCAATCACGGTGTTAAGCGGAGGATCACACAGGCTTATATCCAGGCTTCACCAAATTATGTTAAAAAAAATTCTAAAAGAATTCTTGCGCTTTTCTAGAGTATGCCATATACCTGATTCTGATTTAAATAAACCTTCTGATAAAAAAAGCTTTATTTAGCCATATATATTTAGTTAATTAAAGCAGATATTAGCTTAGAGATTTTCACAAAATAAATGGAGAAAAACATTTTATTTTAATGCTTGAAGCGAAAAATTATTTTATTGTTTGACCCGTAAAAGTTTGTATTGTAATTTGTTGGTACGCTCAAGTATATAGTGAATAATAAATTTTCATTTAAGAATCTTCAAAACAGAATCAATTTTAATCAATCAATCAATCAGTCATGACTTATAAGCGCTGAAGCAAAATGTTTACAAAAATCATCTTTCTAAAAACGGCCGCCACCGGTAGGGAAATTCAACTCCTCTGGGTGCTTATAATAAAAAAAAACCTATCAGCAGTACGGAGGGGCTTAGTATAAACTGAAGATTCATTTGTTGGAAACTCATTTTATCTCTTTTCTGAGCAAATTAATAACAGCTCTACAAGAAAAATTTAAAACGGTGCCTTCAATTTTGCGCGATGCTACATCAATGACTTTCAAAGGAACAATCACTCTTTTTGAATCTTCATTTTTTTAAAGTCTCAACTAAAACTAAATTTCCTTAAAATTGAAAAGTTTTACTTAAAAGCTAACAAGTAAATTAAAAAAAAAGATATTTTGTCTTAAGAAATTATCCCCATTCGACATGATCAGTAAATAGAATAAATAAAATAAAAACACTGCCTACATTTAGGTGCTTCTTACATAATTTATCCAAGTCAACTACCTAAAAGTTGCTTTAAAGTGGAAAATAATAAATAAATGATTTCAAAACTTTTTCGGTATTCCCTTTCAATGTGACAAGCCAGTCAATTTATTTTAACATAACATAAATATCATTAAAACTAATCGTTGCATTTATGACAAAACAAAAACAATCGCTAAAATTTGTAATTTTTTCTAAGAATTTGCAACAGCAACATTTATTTAACGAGTCTTTTGATTTAATTGTGTGGTGTTTTCAATTTAAAATATAATTGAACATAAGTCATATAAATTGAGTTATATAAACACAAAAGCTTTTACTAATTCTTGCTACTTATGTAAATATTAAAATAGCTTTTCCACTTGTTATTAATAATTCATAAACAAGAATATTTATTATGCATTAAAATGCATTTTTTCATCAAGCTTTATACAATCAGAATTACAACAACACTGTAAAAAAAAAACATGCACACATAAATAAGTATAAATTGCAAAATATTTTATTTCCAATTATGGTCACTTTTCAGTGATTTAAGCCAATAAGTGTCTAAGAAATTAATGCCTTTGAAACGAAACATCACATACAAATGAATGATAAAGCTTTGTATGAATTGTGTAATTACAAAAGAATAAATTTATATTTATTATACATACTCGTACAAATATTATTCAAAACTTATTCAATTTATATTTTAATGTAAGTTTTTAATATTTTAAAGCTCTATCTTGGTATTGTTGTTCTGTTTTCGTCCGAATCTACCTTGTGAGCTTTTTACGACAACCGGTTGGGAATATATTGAATTATGAAAAAATATTTAATTTCTTGCAAGTGAGAACGAACTGAATTTGGGAAGAAACACAAAGTATTTAATCTATAAAAAAATTGATTTGACACAGGTTTCTGGCAAAAAAAAAATTTAGAACGTAAGTATTCGAGTGTAAATTGAATTGCACCAGGGTTCTGAATGTACTTAGAAGCAATAGAAACTCTTCGAGCCAGAGATTGAATATATATATATATATATATATGTATATGGCACTTCGTAACAACTGTAGCAGTTTGCGGCCGAGGTCCTTCTCAAATGAAGGGACCTACAGCCTCCGAACGGCTGATGGTTTTTTTATGAGGAGCATTATTTGAGGTCAGAATTACACTCGGAGGGGTTAGTTTTCCGAGCCGAGGGGCGACGGCAATTCGAAAATTTAACTTAATTTTTTTTTTAATAATTTTCTGTAACTATGGGATGTTATTAGGACACCATGATTTAAACACGTGTCTTCCGAAAGATATTACGCAATGTTAACTACAAGGATACCGCCGCCGCCCTACATAACCCAATAAAAAATAATCCAGCTTTGTTAAATCGCACAATTTTGGAGTCCACGCTACAGCCTCATGACGCGAGATAATGCACTCGTCTAAAGTTTCCTTCAACGAAGTGATTGCTACATTTACTGTAAGGTTTGTTTTCATTAACATTTACCGATGTAAGCACAAAAGGTTATTTTTCGTTCCCCATTGACTATAACTTTATACCCGGCTGCCCACAGAGAAAGCCAAACAATGACTTTTTAAGGAGCTTCATCGCTGAACAAAGTTTTCCTGCGAAAATAGGGATCGGTGGTCATAAAGTGGATGAACACAGCTTCAATTTTTGTGTACGATCGTGAATAGACTCATTTGGGTGTGCTTCGGTGCAGAAACGCCGACTGAAAATCATGCGAATTTTACTCTCCTAGAAGATGGGACATCTAAAAACTAACAGGAGCCCCGATAAAGCATTTTCCAAAAGAGGGTACAAGCGCTGCAAGTATGATGAAGACAAGTACAAAGAAGACATCTTATCGAATCTAACAGGATGAAATATCGAAGGAATTTATAGAGAAAACATGACATTACTTCTTTCCCTTTAATATATAGTTACAGTAAGCTCAAACAAGTCCGCCTGCTTAAGTAATCATTATTGTGCAAACAAGACAGAATTATTATTATTATTAATTCTTTTTTTTTTTTGTTTTTTTTTTTTTGTTAAACATGTAGCTGTAACTCTATCTTTTTGCTCATTTAATAACTATAAGCATTAGCCGAGCAGCTAACTTACCCGAACTGAGTCCTTATTACTCGTTTTCATTCTATATTTTTCCCAATTTTTTTGAAAACTTTCGTTATTTTCTATCAAATTATATTAACTTAGAAATCCATGCGTTCATGGCAATAAATGAACTCTTAAAGTTTATTATAATAATTTTCTTTCATATTTGAGTACTGCTCACTATTAACACCCAGCTGAGCAGTGAATGTCACCAACTCAATCATATTATCTTGCAACATATTTTTCCAAGCAAACGACGTACATATCTAAGTACAGATGAGTCCTGCAGCGATTGCATTACGACATTTCTCAACGGCGACAGAGACAAACAGCCGAGAAGTCAAGAAATGTGCAACCAATGCAAAAAGAGAAGCAAAGCCAAGTCAAAGTAAAAGCTATAGAGCGAGGAAAGCAAAACTAAAAACGCTGCGTGCCTGTTGCATCCCTGCAATGTTTGCAGCTACAATAAATAGAGAAATTCACTACAATTTGAGAAAATTACCTATTTTTTAATGTAATATTTTTTAGTATTTTTATTCTTATTTTCTTTTATATTTTCTCATTTTTTCCAACAAATTCTTTGCGAAATAATAAACTTCGTCAACAAATTGACTTCGCCTCGCTTGTTTGTTGCCATATTACTTGATTACCTACCAGTATGGGGTGTTTGTGTGCTTGTGTGTGTGTATGTGTGTGTGTAGTGTAGTGTAGTTATACTATGGTTGCAACTCACCTCCTGCCAATGTATTGTCGCTTCGGTGTACCGTAAACTCGTGTAGATATGCATGCAGGACAACACTATACCACCGATGAGTGCCTCACGTAGCCGCAGCGGCAGCATGGTGTATGTCATGTAGATGAAAACAACACAACAGGAGCTGCCATTGTAGGATTTGCTGCAAGCAAAGGGTGAGAGCAGAAAGAAAAAAGGGAAAATATAAAAGACATTACTTTTTTACAAAGAAATTTAAGAGATATTAATAGAGTGTCATTGTGCGTGTATGTGTAGCGGAATAAAAACTAATTTAATGAAGTAGGGAATGTGAGCACACACTCAATCACTAACATATACATGCACATACACATAAGCAGACACTCAGCTATTGGCAAATGTTACTCATACGCCGCAGGGTGGCCTTGCATTTGTTGTTGCTCATAGATATCAAATATATTTACAATGCGAATTACCACGAATTGTGAAATATCAAATTAACAAAAAAATTGTATTTTTGAAAAAAATGTACAAAAATCACAGTTAATAATAATAGTTGCAGCAAAACACAAAATTTTAATTATTGAAAGATCCTTTAACTGCATTAAATGGATATTAATTCGATTACAATTTGTATAATAAAATGAAAAAAAAAATGATTGAAAAATTAAAAATAGCAAATATATAATTGAATTATAAGAAATTAATTATTAATTTAATTTAGTTATATTTAAAGTGAAATATTAAGGACAAAGCGCACATATAGTGTCAGATATAAATAAGCTTTGAGTTTTTTACATGAAAATTATCTCTCTCATATAGATAAATAATAAAAAGTTATTATTTATTTTTTTATTTTTTTCTCTCATTAACCACTTGGAAATAAATTTCATTCTTTTCAAAGAAGAGAAAAAATTACATAAAAATTACCAAACTAAAAATAACTGACAATTAAAGGCGATTGGCGTAATAAGTGTTGCTAATCGCTTTGGCGAGCTATGAATATTAAGTGATTTTTTATTGTAGTATTAAATCCAATATTAATAAGTAAAAAAAAGTATCGGCAATTTGAATTTGAGCAAGAAATCGACAATTATTATTCATGAAAATTAATAGAATTGCGATTAGGGCAAAACATTTGTTCTTTCTTTGCTTAGTACTTGGCCAAATGATTTTTAACCAAAGTGGGATGGTGCATAGTTCAGCTCTTTCATGATGTTTGTGTTCTGACGTTGCCATTATGAGTTCCGGACGAGTTTTTGAAGAGCTTCTTGTAAACTGGCTAGTTATTGGCAATAGAGCTCAGAACCGATCATTACATTCGATTTTAACAGCTCATATTATTATATACAATATCCCTCGAATCCCATCACACACTTAGCACCATCATAATTGCCGTTCATTCAGGCTTTGAAGTCGTTTGCTTAGAGTCGTCAGCCATTAAAAATAAATCTTTTCCTTTTTGCATACTCGTATGAAACCAATTTCTCATCACCCGCGGTGAGTCGCTGCAGAAAGGATACGACTTTGCCACGTTTAACTGCTGCCTGAATTCATGTGACACCCAAACATCGAGCTTCTTTATGAAAAACGCCTCTTTTAAATGCTTCCAAACTATTACGTGCTTGAAATCTAATGCCTTGCAGAGCTCCAGGACGCTCGTATGTCGCTATTGCTGTACCAGTCGCTGGCTTTCAACAGCCTTTGGGTGTCTACCAGACCTGAACCAAATGCACTTTCAAAGTTTTGGACACTTTATCGATCAAACCATGTACGAACAAGGAATACCCCTTTAATGGCTTCTCTTCCGATGGCATACATGCTTACTAGCCTGACCGAGGCATATGTTAAGCAATAGATTAAATCCACAAGCGGCTATTTTCCCCTAACTCTAATAAACCTTGCAAAACCAACTCCCCCTCCTACTTTAAGAGCATCTTTAAATCACGTGGTCATATTGAACTTTTCATCCCCCTTAGAGCAAATATGCTAATCGTCTATCACGGGTAATAGAAAGGCCACAGGGAATTACAGCTGATTAGACTGACGGACAAGAACTGTTTGTAAATATGAAAAATTTGAGACCTATCTCTTTGGGATCTGCTAACTCAAATGATGTATTGGTTTTAATACTAACATACGAACTTAAAGATAACTTATAGTAAAGGCAACATTTAAGAAGGAGTGTGGCTATAAACTCTAGAACAGCTGCAACGTGTCTAACGAGCGCGATGAGAACTACTTCAACAAACGTTCTTAACATCAGGTTATTAACTGTGAAAGGCACTTCAACATATGGAAAATTATAACTGAACCCGAACTAGAATGAATTTGACCATTTGTTTTTGTAATCAAATTCGATTATGAAAACTTTACCCATCCGTCACGCTTTTAATATAAAACATTTTTTTAATTTCTAATTTTTAAATTTCAAACTTCTTCCAAATTTAAACTGAAACTTTTAAAATTAAACTTTTCTAAAATTTTACAAATTAATGTTTTTCACAAAATATTTTGTGTAACTGTATACATATAGTATATTACACTTATGTGTTTGTTATTTAATTTTTCCGTTCGAGAAAAATGTTACTCATACGCCCCGGTATGTCTACGAAAGTATAATATCATATAAAGAATTGCAAATTAATGCATACAAACTTAATGTATATTTTCCTTGCGTCATTTAAAGAATTATGAAAAAATTACAAAGACAAAAAAATATATTTTGATTTGAAAAAATAGTAAATTAAATAAAAATATGTCTAGCACCAGTGTGGAAATTATTGAAACTAAATGTCTTGAAAACTCATTATAGAAATTCTAAGCTTTTTTAATTAACTCAATTCAATTCGGCCGCTACAACTGAGTGGTTAGCATTTCGTACTACTTCCGAAAGTATTTCCGACATAAAATGAAAGCTTCTCATAAAAGCAATCAGCCGTTCGGAGGCGGCTTTATATAAACAGAAGATCCTTCAATTTGCTGGAAAAAACATCAAGACGGATACAACAAATTGGAGGAGGAATTCATATTTCTTACAGAAAGTTATAATAGCTCTCATGCGTGTATGCTTATTATTTCCCTATTATTTACTGATATGCTTCTTGCTTTCTTGCTAATTTAAATTTCTACATTTACAAGTTGCAAACATCATATTAACACAGAAGCATATTAAATGCAACCAAGCAGAATCAGAAGCTTATTATGTTTAGGCAACTCCAACCAACACAATGATTGATAAACAAATGTACATAAATAAGTAAGTAAGCATGGAAATATATTAATATATACAATAGTGTATTGTGTTAAAGCTATATGCAACTAAACACACATACATTCAAACACATATCGTTCTTAAATGTTTTGTGCGCATATCTATACAACAGACACTCAAGTGTACACATATAACTTTCAATATATGCACATAATATATGTATGTATATGTAGGTATGTATAATATCGTATTTGTATTAAATCAATTTCTATTCATCATAACTCACCTGGGCAACATGGCATAACCCACGGCAATTTCGATGGCAACAAATGTGCCCACAATTACATAAGACACAAGTACCAGGAATATTTCATTCATAGCCGGTTTGGAGAGTATGCATAGAAGTGCTGTGGGTAGATGGATAGAGAGTAATGGTGTCGGAAATGAATATATAAGTTTTAGTAATAAAATTTTCAATACACAATATACATACACACATGTATGTGAAGTACTTAAGTCAGTTGCACATATATATAAATTCAAAATAATAGTGATAATGAAACCTAATGGCAGCTGGATGTGACTAAAAAGAATAAAACCGATGACCAATAATTAGAAGTCCGTGGACATTCCACTGATTTCGATTTCGATGTTTCACAGTTTAAAAAATCAAATTATTTTATTGTATTATTAGTTTCTACAACGTCTCGAGATTATTATCTTAATCTTCCAAATCGAGCAGAATAAATATTGCGGCTTTCGGTTTAACGATGTGAACTTTGTTTCCTTTGTTTCCAAAGTCGGTTGTTAAAAGTTCTCAAAAACAAGTTACGATCCTAATGAAACTTTACACAGGTGTTCTAGACTCAACTCACGAGGAATTGGAGCAAATTTTACACAAATTTTAATTGAAATAGGAAAAATCTGCCAAAAATCCCTAACCCAAACTCTATTTCATGGAATAAACTGGAGTAAGCTGTATTGTTTATCACTTCGGATAATTCTATCATGAGTTCTACTCTCCAGCCAGTCGCACCTTTCACGAGGGCCACCGCAAATGACGTCATATTGGCGAATCTATGAATATTTTCCGTTCTGTTCCGTTTCCAAAATTCTATTTCGAAATAAAAATCTCTAGCTGATACAAAAAGCTTGAAACAAACACTTCATTTTTTTATATATATAAATAGAAACTAGAAAAAAGATTTTTTTACCGAATAAACCTACATAAATTTTTACATTAGAATGAAGGGAAGTGCGAGGATTCCGCTGGTTCTTATTAAAAATTTTTAAACATGTGGTCAACGAGATCGACGTCGAGGCATAAAAATGTATTTAAAAATAATCTACCTACATATATAAATCACAGAGGCATTTTTCGTGCTGAATTCAGACTATTTTTACATAGGTAAAAAAATTATAAAAATTTAAAAACATTCCTTTTACTGCCGACTTAACGTCTGATGCCCACAAAATGAATACGGGGAAAATTACACATTTTTCCGTTATATATTTTTGTTCATATTTCTGCCCATGAATTTCAGTGTATGGAAAATAGCATACACTCCATATTGCGGATTGTGCAAAATATGCAACACCAAAAAAAAAAATGAAAAAATAATGAATTATAAAATATAAAAGAACAACATAAAAAATGGTTGGCATGTTCAAAAGTTATTTTCAATTGATTTGTTACTCTCAATGCAGGCACTGCCACCCCTTCTGACTACGCGTGTTCAATTGCCCATACTCACATGCATACACCAGCACACATATGGTCATCACCGCAAGGAAGACGAGGACACGCTCATCAATTGCTGACAAAACTTGTAGGAGCAGACGCACGGTGGGTGGAAAGGCGACATAGCCGGGCGCAGCAGTGATGTCTTCCACTTCACCGGGCAGTGCTGCCGATGACTCAACTTGCTGTTGCTCTAATGAGGCTTTCGTGGCGAGTAGATTTGCTGAACGTTTGTTGGCCGCACTAATGGTGAATAGGAGTGTGTTTATTGTTGTTGGTGTACTTGTTGTCAACGCCATTGTATTTGTTGCATTTGTTGCATTGCCCTTTGGTTTAAGCTCATCTCTGCTTGTGGAGACAGCGAGGGCGGCAGCGGCTGCGGCGGCGGCGAAAGAGGTTTGCTGCCTTATCGGCATTTTTGTTTTTGGCGCTCTTGTCACACTTCCCTTGCTGAGCACGTTATATTCCACTTCATCAACAATACGTGCCATATGGTGTTTGTAATTGTTATAGTTATTGTTTTTGTTACCACTTTTGTTTTTTCTGTTCTCATACCATTCGTAAATCCTTTCATTATTTTCCCCAACAACTTCAAGCGAATCTTCACCATCTTTCATTGTGACTTCCGCTCCTGTTGTAGCCTGAGCATCTGCCTCTGCTTCGTTTATCGCTTGAGTTCTACTGTTTGCGAATCGTTGGTTGGATTTAGTGGACAGAGTTAACGGCTTCACCTCCCCGTCTCGCCGCACCAACTGTCCATAGCTGTTATGCCGCTCTGTTGCGTCTTGTTTGTCTGAATTATTTATCACATTCCATGACGGCGTGTGCTCAGCTTTACCGTGATTTCGTTTACTACGCACAATTCGCACTCTTTTCACCGTTACTTGTCTCTCAACATCGTTCCTCGTATGCACGTAGTGTGCTGGCCATTTCTCCATAGCGTATCCTCGAAGAAATTTGTTATTGTTGCTTTCGTTGTACTTTAACGATTTCAATCTGCAAGGGTTGAGGAAGAGAAGAACAGGAAGAGAAGAAAAAGAGGAGGAAGAAGAAAAAATGCAGCAATCACGTAAATCACATTTATATTGACATGTAAGCGTGTTCATGTGTATATATGTACAGTTGTGTTTATGTTTGTGGTACATATAAATGAGTTACAGCATCATTTGTCATAAAGTAATAAATAAAATTAATTTCATTTATTCATTGTGTGAGTGTGCACACCGCACGAGTATGTATGTTTATGTTTACCATTGAAATGTAGATATGTAATTTGGCGTGTTGACATAAATTTCATTTTTAATATCTGTTAGCAGTTTGTATATGAGATAAATAAGTACTAATAAAAAACATATTAGGGGTTTCACAAAACAACATCTACTGTCGCAATGTCACGTGGATAACACATCATAAATATCTTACTTCAAACTAATAATATTTTTAAAATTTTTATAATTAATTGTGGCATATTTCATCATTTTGTGAATACCCCAATGGCTTGAGGCAAACTCTTAATTATAATGAAAAATAAAAATATCACCCCTTAAAATAACAAATGAAATTACAAATTTTCATTAAAAGTTATTATTATTGGTTTATTCTTCTTATGGAGAGAGAGCAAAGAGAAAATACACTACATTCTATAATTTTTCTCTGGTATAGGCTGAAATTATAACAGCAAATCGGGAAAAATTTCAATTTCATCGATTTCGTTACGGTAATTTTGATGTAAAAGATGCTCCACGGTGTGGAAGACAGATTGCCGAACATTTTGATAATAATAATGTTGGTCATTACGCCAGTACTGTTTCGAGTACTCCGAAGCTAAACATGGTACATGCAGTTTGGAACCACTTGAATGTATGTGTGACACATGAATTAACGAGAAAAAATTTCATACACCGAATTTCCGTCCTCGAATCGCTGTTGAATAGCAACAAAATGGACCCATTTCTGAAGCGGATGGTGACTGGTGCTGCAAAGTAGGAGTATATTACTTGCAGCAACGTCAAATAAAAACGAAGGGCAATTAGCCGAGACAAATTGTCTTCAAGCCAGCATTGACAGCCTGTAAAGTTTTGTTGGGTGTTTGGTGGGAAGGTAGCAAGGAAAACTCCACTTTGAATCCATTCTTCCTTCTAAAGGAAATAAACAGCAGAAGCGCCCAGATTTGGTTAAAAGACGGGAATTGTAATTCATAAGGTCAACAGACCACACACGTTTCAATAGTGAATCATCGGAGGCTCTGAGAGCTTGGTTGGCTTCTGCGTCCACCTTGAGCCACTGACCTCGCCCAACTTGATTACCATCTGTTCCAGTCTGTGGCAAATGATTTGGCTGGTGAATAATTGGCCTCAGTAGAAGTCTGTGAAAATCTTTTTTTTTTTTGTTTTAGGGGTAAGGTTAACTATGAAGGAGGCATAATGACATTACCTTCAAGATGACAAAAAATATTATCAAGCAAAACGGCAATGATAACCATGGTAAATAAGGCCTCCAATTTAATGACTTAATAAAGCTAAAATTTGAAACGCCATCACTTAACTATGCGAAAAAAGTGCAGGTCATTTGGACTGTGCTCCAAAACTAGTCATAAGACTGTACATTCAGGAATAAATGTGGATGATGGGCTTTTAATTTGATAGGTGAAGTTTCAAAAAACAGTTCGTCGAAAATGTGATTCGCACACCATCTTACTTCACCTTAACAGGTCTGTAAACGAAGTATTAGGACACGTGGCTCTACATATTACTAAGCTACGGATTAAGAAGAGTAGGTAACCACGTCTCTCTGGAAGTCTTACTTACACCAACAAATGCTAAAAGCCAGAAATATGACTTAACACTACTTTCGCGCTCAAGGCAAAGGTCATATGTAAGTCAACCGCGCCACAAAAGTCAGCTGGTTGACATGCAAAGGTCACTACATTAAGCACATTAAAGTCAATTTTGACAGTATCTAAAAATACCCTGCTCTCCCGGGCATGAGCTACAAATAAATAAAAGGAATGATTCACTATCATAAGCAAGTCAGGCAAAAAATAACAAGGCGCAAGTTGGTTAGCGTTGTAATAGCAGTATTTGTTGTTGTTGTTGCCTGCCAGTTGTCATCCTAAAGGGATAATAATTTCAGAGGAGAATTAACATTCTGGCATTTCAAAAAGCTTAATATTATTTCTACACATTTTGCCCAACTCGACCGCCACCTGCGCTACATACAGCCTGGAAATATTTTCAATTTACGCTCGAAATGCTGCAAAATGCATGTATGTATGTATGTATGTATGTAAGTAATTACGCCTTTAGCTTTTTCGAGATTCTTGTGTATCTGACTTCATTTTGCAAGTGTTGAATTATTTATTAATGCCTTCTTTTCGTACTCAGCAGTTTGTGAAAATGAAAATGTTCGTAGTCTACTTTTTCTTGTTTGTCCTTTTTGTTTTGTGAAACAAATATCCAGCAACAATGTTAGAAATATTGAGCAAGGCAAGTTCGTTCAACTTTAATTTGCAAAAATTCTCTTTGATTTTACTTTGCTGTGCTGGTTGCCGGGAGAGGCTACATTTTTTGGCTTCCTGCAGGAAACAATTGCAGGTAAATGAATTGCGGTTGCTGCGTCAAAGGATTCATGGGAATGCCGACAGCTTTTTTTGGTTTTTGTATAGCAAATTGATTGCGTTACAATTACGAACTCTTGACTGTTTGGGAAGGAAAAGAGAAGTCTTATTAATGATCTGTAAATTTACCTTGAAACTGCTGGCTTCTCTCCGAACACATACAACACATATTTTAGAATATGTGTGCTTGCTTTTCTCTTACTTAAATTTGCTTTGAGTGAAAATAATGAAATTCAATTTGTCTGCTTCTATTTAAGAGGCCTTTGGTTTTCTCATCAAATTAATTATTCAGTTTTTTCATTATTTGATAGTCCATTATTTTATCAAATTTATTTTCATTTTTCGATTGCCGAAGAAAATACTCTTGCGGGTTTCTAAATCAATTCAGTGCAATATCATATTTATTTACTTGCATTTATGTTCATTAGATGAAGAACTAACACTGAGTGTACTGTCATTATACCCTTGTGAGACTTTCTTAGTCTCGTTTGCCATGGGACACTCGTTACATTCAACAAAAATGATCAAATTTTCATCTCTAAAATAAATCGTTGAATTTAAAAACCGTTAAATGGAATAAGAATGTACTTTTAAACATTAAAATTTTAAACAAATCTTTTTTATGCACCTCAGAAAGGGTGTCCTCTTTCAATTCATTTTTTGTCTCTGCTTGGGTAGAAATTTAACTACCAGTCATTTCATTATTTTTTGTTGCTTTTGATTGCATTCAAACCCTTTGAAATAGAATTTGAAGCACCATTTAAAATAACCACAACATTTACGTACAAAAGCAAAAGCGCAACTGGGAAATTTCTTTTAGCATAAAATTTCATTTTAATTCTTCTTCTAATTTTTTTACACCGTTAAAATGTCGACCTTTTCTACTAATATTCATTAACTTCTCTTTGCGACTTTTCCAATGTTATCGCATAAATTTAGGCGTAAATTGAACATAAATCAAAAAAAAAACTTTTCACTTGAATGAGCACTATGTTGACTCGTAATTTTATTGAAATTTATTTCCGTTTATTAGATCACAGAAATTGACACTCATGTGCTAAAATAAAAAAATATTTAAATATAATTCATTAAATTTACTTCATTTTATATATTTGTAATTAACTTTTGTTTTATCTGATTTAATTTTATTTCATTTAATTTTATTTAATTTTATTTTATTTATTCTTTAATGTTATTTTATTTATTTTCATTTTTTTTATTTCAATTAATTTTATTTAATTTAATTTAATTTTATTTTATTTTATTTTATTTTATTTAATTTTATTTTATTTTATTTTATTTTATTTTATTTTATTTTATTTTATTTTATTTTATTTTATTTTATTTTATTTTATTTTATTTTATTTTATTTTATTTTTTTATTTGTTTTTATTTGCATTTAATATTTATTTATTTATTTTAGTTTTTGTTGTTGTGTAGACAAAGTACCACACCTCCAAATAGTTTTCAATTTGTAGGTAATCAAAACGGTTTCGAACATCCCATAATCTGCAATAAGTACCTACCTCGAACGCTTGAAGCGATGCAACTTCGGCCAATGACTGTGATGATAGTATTTACGCTTAAGACGCCTAAAAGCCGCTGGCGCCAACATTTGAACTTCGGCGCCCTGCCGACCGCCATTCAGTTTCGAGTTAGTAACGCGTACGTCGCCAGCACCGTGCACTGGTAGCGCCAGTGGAGCGCTGTATATCTGTGGGTCACGCCAATCTTGCGCAGCGTACGGGAGGTAAGTTGATGACTTCGTGGTTATCGGCGGTGTCAGCGTGGTAATGGTACGTGGCGTCGTTGGTGTAACGGGAGCCAATGTGGGCGACAGTGTTGGTGTTTGCTTGAATGCCGCACTTGCCACAAACTGTTGTGCGCTAATGCGCACTGTCGTACCTGCGCCATCGAAAACATCACCAACAATAATATGTCCTACCACCTGCCGCGGTGTAGAACTGCTTGGCAAGGCGGCGGCAGCAGTTGGGTTTGTTTGTTGTTGTTGCCGGCTTAAAAGTTGCGCTTGTTGATTGCCCATTTCCGTTAATGTTAAAATTGAGGTTGCCGCTCTCGGGCTGCCACTGCCACCACCAGAGCCATCAGCATTGTGGCCGACACTTTCTCTGCTCAGGCCATTAGCCACATTGTTGCTAGTCGTCGACGCCACTGTCGCCACCGTCGTCTCGTTCGTTGCGGCAAAGTTGCGTCGAATCTGCAATGTGGTGAATACGATTTGCGCACTCGACAACGCCACTATCAACGCCAGCAGCAACGCCAGGATATGTGTCGTATTGCTCTGATTCATGCGCAGAAAATAACGCTGATAAAGCATTTCCACCTGCAATGGACCAGAATGCATGGGTGAGTGGGGTTGTGCCTTGTGTGAGTAAGTAAAGTGGAAAAGTTTTTGATTTTGAGAAAAATGTGTGTTGTTGGAATTGGTAACCCGGAAAACTATGCCTGCGGTTTCTCGTCGTCCCTCTACTGCTCGCCCATCCGCTCTCCCTAAGGCTATGATAAACTTTTCTAATGAAGTTAAGTTGTTGGGCAAAATATTTGCCATTCAAGTAGCTTGCGAATCGAAGCGTGAATAGACATATTTTCAGTAGACTAATCTTCATAAGGGCGTATGGGTAAATGAAATAAGGGAAGCAAAGGATTTATGAAGTGACCTCAAATGGGCGAAACAAGAGTGAAATGTTAGCAAAATACACATTAATCAGCTGAAGCACTGAATAATGTAACGGTCGAGCTCCGGCAAAGGTATATTCAGTTTCTGTGTTTTTCATTTCTAATCGGCCAAAGAAGAGAGTGATGATCTGCGACTTTATTTATTTCTGTATGGATGAGAAGGGAGAAGAGAGCAAGCATGGACAGAAATACCGTAGGTTCGGCTTAGTGAAAATGAATGTTCTAAGAGAATTCTACTTAAAAATAAAATAATATTCCTTTGTTGCCAGCTATTTTTCTGTAACTCGGTACTATTATGATTTTGGTTCTGAAAACCTTCAACGCCACAGACCGAAATTACACAATCTCGTTCAACATTTTCGAACTCACCATGAGTGAACCCAAGAACATAAAGACGATTGGCAGTCCCACAAAAATCACACCGCGACGCAGTGTGTCCACCTCTTCGTTGATATTGGCTACCTCCGCCTAAAACACACTGAAATGGTCTGGAGGACTGCATTTTTCGACTTATCCCCGAAGAAGTTAAGTGCTCCGTCTCCTCCATTGCTGGAGTGTATGGCTTATAGTGGAAATCCAAGAAACTGTGGATGAATTCAAGACCATCGAGAGCAGTGGAATACTACACGATCTGACTCCAATTCTATATAACGAAGCTATGAATACACCTTGTAGAAATATTGAGAAAAGCTTCTGATGCGAGATTCTTGTAAACGGGGGTTTCCTCAACAATAATAAGTAGAGAGATGTACTTTTGTTTTTTATTACGAGTATGTATGCCACGTCCTCGAAAGGCAATCCTTATACAAAAGTCAATCGGCGTTTCTAAGTTTTACAAGAGGAAGAACAGACAAATTGCTTTAAAGTTTCCAGCAGACACATGTGAATTTCCCCGGCCTTCGGAATGAAAGCTATTTTGAATATCCTCCATGCCATGGTGGTGCGATGTACCCTAGTCTCACACAATTGGCTAACAAAGTAATATGTCAGCAACAACTTTTCACGTCTTTCTCGTTTTGAAGCAGATTACTTCAAATAATGACGTTGAGGTGGGCCATTTGTAGGTTACTTCAAGATACCTTGAGAAATATTGTCAACCTTCGACTTGAATTTCTGCAATACTTAGTCGCAACATATATTCAGAAGGTCACCAAGCTATTCAAAAAAAGTTTCGGTACTAGTTCCGAACTTGTCTAAATAAGTGTAGTAATGAAAAGAAGTTGGTTTTTGCAAAAAAACTGCAAATCTAATACAATTCCATACTAGTACCGAACTAGTTCATTAATATATTCGAATGTTTATATTAAAAATCACTCCAAAATGTAGTATTTTGAGACGGGAGGTTTTTCACTCTCCACATCTGAAAGCATATTAGTACATTTACTATAGTTTGCCTATTTTCTTTTTATAAAAAACAAAAATTTTAATAATACCATAAGTAACACTTTGTAAAAATACTTTTAAATAGCATTATTTTTTTTTTAATTTCTATCTTTTCCTTTAACCCTACCCAATCACCACTCGCTTGCAGCTCCCCCTCAAAGTGAAACCAGCTTTGCTTACATAACGTCATCGAGTACTCATTAGCACCCACTTCAGCTACCGTTAGTTTACCAGATAGGACACCGTGCTAATTTCTGTAAAACCGTTAATATATAATTGTATTCATCCATGGTATACACCGTTAGCTACTCAAGCCGAAAAAAAACAACTACAAGTACAAGCACAAGCGTACAGAGTTTGTGTCGTATAAATATACACATTTGTGGTCGCAAAAGTAAACATGTTGCGGTGCAAGCCTATTATCCTTTGCCGAAGCACGTGCTGTGCACACATTAACAAAATGTAATTACGTAGGTGGAATCATATGTACATACGAGTACATATGAAGTGAATTAAACGGAAATTGGTTTTGCGAAATGTTACCCTCCTAGATTATGTACGAGTTTACGTGTACATACAAACATATACATATATGGCGCATGTAGGTAAGTCCGACTGCATTTTAAATGCTTGTGAATACAAATTGGAATGAATAATAATTTAGTGGAGACAGATTCAGTAAAAAACAAAAGAATTTCGTAAAATAAAATAAAATAAAAATAAAACAGTAGAAAATTAAATTTAATTAAATAAAAAATATTTGATATTAACATGAAACAAAAGTAGAATGAATGAAATTAAATTTAAAAAATAGCGGCTGAATTAGCGCACTTAATAGTTGTTGGTTAATAATGAATTGATTAATACAAGAATAGATTATATGGCTAAAACACTCGCCTGTCAGGATCTGTTGGTTCGATCCCTGCTATAACAAGTCTGATGAGGAGATGTGATGTTGTATAACAAATTATTCAAATCATACGAGCAAACCAGGAATTTTGTTTATTAATTACTTATATGAGAAATTAAATTAAATTAATTAAACAAAATAGGTTTAAATAATAAATATTATAAAACAAAATAATATAAAATAGTGAAATAAAAAATTCGTAAATGGTAAAGCAAGATTAAAGATTAAACTAAACTAAAATAATAACATTTAAAAAAAATTTTAACTTAAACAGAAAACTAAAATGCATTAATTAAAATAAAATAGATTAAATAATATTGAATTGTATAATAATAAAATAAATAAAATATAACAAAAGAAATAATAAATGAATATAAAATAAATAAACTTCAAAAACATAAAGAAAATATTACATTAAATAAATTACGTTATATAAAATGCAATAAAATAGAATAATGCAAAATTAAATAAAATAAGGAAATAAAATAAAAGAAAACAAGATTTTTCTAGTGAAATACTGAAGCCGTAAGTTTATAAATAATTTTCAAATATTGCATTCTTTTAGAATTTTTTTCCAATTTTCCAATTTGTCAGCACACCTACCCTCAACAGCAATTCATTTAAGGCTCAATTGCAAACTGGTAATTTGCATACACATTACAGAGAGGTGAGGAGGTTGAACAACACTTCAACTTTTACTTTAGCCAAGCTTTAAGTACCCACTTCAAAGTATTTTGCATATTTTTGAGCCAACTACACTCACAATCTGTGGCAAATAGTTCTTGGGTTTGGGTTGAATTCGTGCGCAATCTAAAAACGTGTGTAGGTAGATACATATATATTTATGTATGTATGTTAATGTATTCGTGGGCTAATGCTTTACCTGTAGATTTTTAAATTGATGTGTTGTACAGAGGCGTAAAATAACCCGATTCAGGCGAAACCAAAATGAGATTGTCGGACTGAGACCGCTCGTTGCACCGGCAGTGCCATTCGCATTACTGCCCACTTCCGTATTACGACCATCCATCGATTCGGAATCTGAAAGGAAAAAGCGAATAAAATGGTTATAGATATGAAAATGAATTAGAAAAATTCAAAATGTGCGGTTAGTAGACACTTATATTTATATACAAATCTATATGGTCACATTAATATCAAGTATACCCTTGAGACGTTGTGTGAAGAGGAGTTGGAATAATAATTGAGTTATTTAAATAACTCAATTATTATATATATAAGAAGAGACTGCACATCCTCAAAGTAAACTGGATCCGGCAGGGGGCAAATGTATCATAATTTTTATGTTATCGCCCGACTTCGGATTAAGAAAAGTCTAATGAAGAGGTTGGGTAACAGCCTTTCTGAAACCATGTTTTTACAAGATGACGAATAATTAATCAAATAATTTAATAGTGCGATTTAAAAACTCGTACAAAGCGTAACTTAAAATTTAAAAATATTAATTTGGTTTCTAATGAATCATATTGCTACCGTTTAGAAATTTACACACGTATATTTGGAATGCCAAATTTCACGGTCCCGTTTTGATGAATTTTCGAACCAAAACTTCAAGAATGCTTAAAACGATTGTATGGGGAGGAAGGCTAAGCTATAATAACGGCGAAACAAATCGAGAGACTCATAAACACATTAAAGGGCATATAAACCAAAACGAAATGTTTATGCAAATTCATGGTTAGCATTGAAACTGTCTCTTTTGCTGCGGCGGCGCTCTGAAATAGGCCAGCCTAAGGGAATCGGATCACAGACCCGTATAATGTTTTAAATGTACAAACCTAACTCTCTCTTGTTTTATTTCTAGATTTCAAAGGCACCATCCAATCATAAAATTAATTACAAAATTGTTCAGCTAATTTTTTTTTCAAACCATTTTAGTAGAAAACTCAAACGTGGGAAGGGAATCTACCCTTCTCATGATTTTCAATCACACTTTCCTTCGTAATAAGTACAGTTTTAATTTCTTTGCGATATACGTACTATATATGGAGTTCCAAAAATATTTTGGGGCTGTTTCAACAATTTTCAAGAATTAATTGGATTAAATTCTTAAGTATCTTCGGAATTAATCCGAAATTTATTCTCTCAACCATAAAACTGTGTAAACAAAACATTTATTATTCCTTATACTATACAAAATATCCTTTGGCTATAATGACCTTTACCTTAATGCGTTGTTAACACATACGTAGAAATATATAAACATACATAGTCTCACATTATCCCTGTATTGAAGTATATGAGTTACAAATTTCCCAAAAGTGGCATCACTAGTAACGTCAAGGAGTCAGAAAACTGTCCATCTTTCAAACAGGCAATTTTGAGAAAGCGAGATGGTGATTCTGCTACGAGATGGTAACTGTCAAGCTGCGATAATCAGATATATACCAGTTTTATACTAGTTTAAATAATACCAATACCATTATTATGCTAAACCACTAATTTGGTTCAAAATAATAGATATAGAAAAAAATATAACAAATACATCGAAGAAGAAACACTTTAGGAATGATTATGCAAATTACTGATTATGAAAATGAAAAACAAAAAATTACGACTAAGCAAAATCGAAAAAAAAATTAAAAACTTGAATATTTATTAAAAAATACAACATAAAAAATTTACTTTTTTATCCTTCTGTTAACCTTAGGCTCAAGGTAGCCATACACGTCAAATCAAGTCTTTTCGTTCGGTATAAAATCGTTTCACCATACACGACATACCAATTTATTTTACGTTCATTCTTTTACGAGTAAACGTGTGCGACGAATAAGCGGATCATGTGTTCCACTTCTCGCTAACTTCGAAATATTCACGTTTGCCATGTTCTTCAACGATCTTTACTCTTCGACGACACGCGTGAAATGAGCTTTTGTGTGCACATAGCACCATACACGACAAATATGTGCGAACACTGATCGTAAAAAGGCGAATATTTTCGCCTACATGAATTTTTATATGCACAAGCACATACCCGAGTGAATCTCACTCGTGTACATACCGATCGAAAACACTTAAAAAAAAAACACCTTAAAGCAGCATAAAATATTAAGATTAAATAATATTAAATTACTTTTTTATCATTTTAAATATGAGCACTCGAAAAACAAAAAAATTTAAAGTCATCAATAAGACACTCTCCACAAATTTTTGGGACTTTGTTAAGTCAATTGAAAAAATCCAGCAGCAAACTAGTGCTTTTCTGACCAGCTTGGAAACTTCACCGCTAGGCCTGCTCACGAAACAAAAAAAAAGAGCTTCACAGAGTTCTAAGGAAATCGACACTAATCCACATGGAAAACTGATACACCTCCCCAAACAATAATCCAAGTAAATGCAAAGTGGAAGCGCATTTTGAAATTCGATTACCTACATATATACATACATACATAGTACAAGCTCAGTAGATTGTAGTGCATTGAGATTTTTATATTACAAAAACACACACACACATCTCCTATAGACAAAAGCACAAAACTCAAGGCAATGTAGTACGTGTAAATTTTGGCAACTAGAGCAGAGAATAGCACGATGAGGATTACATGTAAGGATATGTTTGTATATACGGGTATGTGTATTTTTGCAGCAACAACACAAAATTTCGTCTACTCGTGTATACATATAAACTATCATAATATTGATATGCATCATTTTCCATAAAGCATCGCAAGACTGGTGAACGGCTCAAAAGCACTTTAAAATTAAAATCCTTGCTTTGCTTTTGAATATCCTGAAAATTTATAGCAAGCACGAGCCGATGTCGTACTGACATCCAAAAATTATAGAAAATGAATTAAAAAATAAAAAATTAAACTGAATTTTTTTGCGGTCGCCTCTCGAAAGGGAAAATCAAAAACTTCTAATAAAAACCATCAACCGTCCGGAGGCGACTTAGTATAAACTGTAGGTTCCTCCATTCGTTGGAAAAGAATCAAGATGCAAAACCATAAATTGATAGGGGATCTCGGCCGAAAATTGCTTTAGCGACTACAAAGCACCAATTATATATTATATATACATTGCTTGTGCACATGAACATCTCGTAGCTGCATGCAAATATCCTTGCAAAGACTAATGAACTTTATGTTAAGCCTATTTTCTTTATACTCACAAGTCTAGAGGGGATTTTTAATTTTTCATAAAAGATTTAAACTAATCACTTCAAATCATATCAAACAACAACACTGCATATATTGTGGTAAAAATATAATTTATTGGAATTCAATCAAAAAATGCTGACTGAATTTGCTCTTAAAGCAAGAAAAGTAAAAAAAATCTACAATTCGTCGAAAAGTAAAATTCTCTACAAATACATAATAAGGATAATAGTCACACATGTGTGCATATTTTTCATGAGGAATTTTCGAAAATAGTTTTGCATACAAATTTCATATAAAATATTATCATATTGTATTATCTTTGTATTCATCTTGTGTAAGTGAATCATGCCACAGCACTGCTAACAACAATAAGGATATATGCATGCATGAACAATGGCATATTGTTGTAAAATAAGCTCTCCTGTCTGCCTCCACGTCACTGGATTAGTAGTTGGTTAAAAGAAACACATCCTTTTCGGATACGCATGCGTGCATAGCAGACAAATTTTCCTAGAAGCTACGCAATTTACTGGTACAACCAAATGTGCATGTATAAGTATAAATATGTGCAGGTGTTTCAGCGCAGATGCAACAATGTGTTTTCCTTTTATGCAAACATTGTGTCGCATTCTGGTTCAAGACATGAAGGAGAAGACAATTTAAAGCGAATGAATTTATACTTTAATTTATAAGTAAATTTACTCGTACTCGTATATAAGTTAATTTCCCAGATTTGAAATGAAATTGTTATTTTACTTTCTTGGAAACTTATTCAAGCCAGAAATTCAGAAAATATAAATAGTATATTTTATTCTTATACAAAAATTAAAATGGTTGGAATCTTAAGCCCTGAGAGGTGTCTCGCCAGCTACGATAGCTAAAGAGATTCGAAAAAATCAAAATTTGATTGAAATAAACAGAAATAGACTCAAAAATAATTATAAACTTTTTGTAACGCTGATCTCACTCTCAAGCCAACTTATGACAACATTTTCCCAACAACAGGCTGTCTATACAATGTCCGATTAAAGATAAAACTTAAAAGAATTCTGTTAATAATATAAACATTTCGAAATTATTTTCTGGACATGAGCTTAGGTCGACATGTCAATTGAGAATACCCAACAAAAGATACACGTAAAAAAATTTAAATTCAGCAACAAAATTTATTTGAGTTTTCGAACACAAAACTGTAAATGAATGTAAAAATAAATATGCAAAAAAAATCCCAAGGATATTTTATTAATTTTTATATCAACTCTGGTACATTTCGCTTCGCTCATGGCAAATTGCATTCGATTGTTTACAGCAAAAAAAAAATTACTTTCAATATATTTCATGCGCTGCACTTGTTAATCTATTTGCTTGAACATGTGTAGGTATGTACTTATGTATGGGCACTTACTTTGTTGGAGCAAATGTGCTTCATCACGTTGGTACACCATGGGACTCGGACATGTCGAGCTGGAATTGGTGGAATCAATTGATTCATCTATGTTGCAACGTGTTATGCCAGCCTAGAAAACAAGAAACAACGGAAAAAAAATAAATAAAATATTTTTATTAGATAAATATTTGCATATATTCAAAATATATATCTACATATCTACATATATATGTATGTGTTTTTAATGTTATTTAAAGGCTGAATTATATGAAAAAATGTATGATTCAAAGCGATAAATGACTAAATATTTGCACAAAAATAGTTTTACCCGTAAACAATATTTTAAGCCAGATTTCAGAAACATTGCAAGTAAAAAGTGTGAACTGGAAAAACAAAAAAAAAAATATTTTTGCTAAGTTTTTTATTGTTTTTGGTTACAATGAAAAATTCAAAATTACCCAATTTAAATAGCATTGAAAAAATGTAGTACTAAAATTTATAAAACAAAACCGTTATCATTTATTTTCTGTGCTGGAAAAAAATATTCACCGAAATTAAAGAAAAACAAAATAAAAATATTAAAAATTTCCACAATAAAATTCCATCTACTCAGCGATTTTTTTATTATTAATAATTATAATTAATTATAAAATAATTTTAAACAAAATTGACTCCAGCTAAAAAAAATGCTTCTTAAACCGTGCCTACAGCAATAAAAATGAAAAAGTTAAATAAATAAAATCAATAATTTCTCACAATTTGCTAAATCAGAGGGCAGAATATATATTTTTTGTTATTCTCATAATAAAAGAAACATATCCACAGATACTATATAGTGTAACATATAAGTTGCACAGCTTAAAAATTCGTTTAGTTAATAGTTTTCAACAGTTTTTTCCAGAAACTTCCGTTTGCCTCAAAAGTTTACGCAAATTAGTGTTATTCAAATTTAATAATAATTACTAATATCAATTTTCATATAATATTCTCATCGTTCGTTACACCCACTGTCATTTGATGAACATAAATGTTTACTGCCTTTTGCACACACACACAGAAAGGGTATGCAATAGTAGTCGCTGAAAGTTGTAATCTCTCTCACATGCACTTAACACCATCTCTCCACCGTTCAATTGCTCTCCGTCGCCGTGGCTTGGTTATGACCTTGGGAATTGTTTGCCAAAACTTATAAAAGTTTCACACACAACTTATATGAACTGCAGAAAGTGTCAGTGAATGTATGTACGTAAGCATGTGAGTGTTTTTATATGTATGTTTTTTGTTGTAAAATAAACACAACTTGAAATTTGCTCAACAAATTTCGACAATTTGCGGAGAGATGGAGTTATAAGTTGTTGTCTCTATTTTGGACAGATTAGTAGAGTTGATAACTTTATATGAGCTGTCTTCAATAATGATAGAAAGTTTTAGTCTGCTTAAAGTTAAAAAATTTAAACTTGGAACTATTTAAAAACATTATGATCTCAAAGAGGCAGAGAGGAGTATATATTTATAAATACGTAAACAACTCGTTTGAGAATCAGTTCTTTTCGAATAGAGACTTAAGAGCTGTTTTTCCTCAAAGCCAGATTCCCCATGGTTCAATATCTCCGAAATTGTCATTTCCGTGGAAATATAAGCAAACTCTTCTTAGCCAAGTGTTTGGCACTGTGGGGTCAAGAGTTTTATTTCTGTTCAAAACAACATTCAAACAGCAGAGAAATAAACTTAAGCTCTCCCTCCGCTACAGGCATATAATATTATCATAATCTACCATCTATCGCAAAGGGACAATATTTTTGGTTAAACACCTGTGAGACTCCTTCCTAATTGGTGAGGGTAATTTATACCTGTAATTCCTTCTTAGAACTAATTACCGGCAATCCGTATTTTTTCAATGGTAGAAATGTTTGTTGAAGTGTTTCATATTTTGAAGAAAACAACAGAGTTTAGCTATTGAGGCTACTAATTATTCGTAGTTCAATAAACTATGTACATATCATTAGCAATCTCATCGTATATGTCTTTGCTGATACAAAGATGACGATTAGTCTTTCTCCCAAACACGCTTAAGTCTTTATCATCTGAAGATTTAATGTCCCAATCGCTTGTCTCATGTAAACAGGACGGGTATGATAAATAACTTATGGGGTGGAGAGAAATGAGATTGGGGTCAGGTTTAGAGTCTATCACAAAGAAACAAGTAAGGCTTAAAGATATATGGATTTTTTTCTAGGGCTAATTCCAAAGGGTACAAGTCTCAGAGATAATGCGTGCATTTACAGCCAATCTGTTCCATTCCAAAGCAACCACTACTCTATAACCTGATCAAACTTAGCCTAACCTAATATTAATTAAACTAAGTAACTTAACCCAACCTGCCTTAACTTAACTTAACTCCAAATCTTCTTTATTCTAGCTGGCACAATCCAACGTAACCTAACTAAGCCAACCAGCTACACTAGACTTAGTCTAGCCGAACTTAGTTTAATTCAAGTTAACCTAATCGCAATCCTGGTGACTCACTCTCTAACCCGGGAAAATTAATTTATATAAAAAATTAAGTTAAATTTTCTCATAGCGGTCGCCGCTCGGCTGGGTACGTCAACACCTCCAATAGTATCTCTGACATGAGATAAAGCTCCTCATAAAAAAAACAGTCAAGCCTACAGAGGCGGTTTAATTTTAGCTTCCTCCATTTGTTGCAAAAACATCGAGACGCAAAACCAGAAATTGAAGGAAGAGCTCGGCCGAAAAAATCGCGTCAATGGTTACAAATCGCCAATTATATATAATAGCAATTATTTTAATATAAACCAATCTAACTTAACCTAACCGAACTTAAACCAAAATAAAAGGGCACTTCATTTAATTAATTACAAATTCTACTCCGATCAATGTCATTTCAGGGGTCATCTGAATCGAAAATTCTGAAATTTCCTTGAAAAAAAATCTTAAAAATTCCACAAATTAATGGAAGCTTTCTAGTTTTAGTTGTATCATTCTCAATTGTTGTTGTCCATGATTACCAAAACTAAAACACAAGCGTATAAACATAGACTTTCATTTGTAGCCATTAACCTACTTACCGCAATTAAACTACTGCTCACCACCGCCTTGCCACCCTTCGTGCTGCTCGTGTTGAAATGTTCGATCACCTCCCAATTCGATTTTTTCGGCGTTGCGACTGAGTTCTGTTGTGATAATTGTTGATGGGGTGATTGTGTCTGAGAGGGAGTTTGTAGCTCCAATGTGACTTTTGAGGCGCTCGTGGCATGCTTCAAAGAGGAGGAGCGATTAAAGAATTTATGTTTATGTTTCGGTGGTTCCTAAGAAAGAATAAATTAAAGGAAACAAGTTTAGAAATAAATTCGATGTAAATTTACTGCAAAATTCCATTTTCGCAAAGGATTTATTGCAACAAGAGTGGCATATCAACATTACTTACTGACAAGGTCATTCAGTCTACACATACACACACACTCTCAAACATGAGCACTTGCTTATTTGCCTTTCCCAATGCCCTAAGTCAGTAAGTGAGATAAAAGCAAACGCGAACGTTGGTGTCAAGTGGAAGAAGGAATTGACAAGCTCGCCAAACATATTGCAACTGCAATGAAGGAGGTCTCTACCACTATTCTTTCCTCTCTGCACTTCTTCCAACTGTACTACACTGCACATAAGGTCTTACCTCTTTACTGGCATTACTGCTGCCAGCGCTGCCACCGCGTCGCATACCACGCAACGACAGTCGTTTGGACCAATCATTTTTCTGACTCTCCGATGACAACGAACGAAATATCTGTGTAGAAGCAGCTGCGGCGGTGGTTGATGTTGATGTCGACATGTCGCTTGGTATCAGAGTGGCCTCCTTAACTGGTTGCACTCACAAAGAGATGAAACGTGCTGCTAGAAAAAAGGAAAAACGAAGAAAATTAAGTCTCGCAATAAGCAAAGCATAGTGATGAGCAAATGCTATTTTTAATAATTGAAAGTGAATACTTTGTAAAGATGACGTTGGGGGTTGCGTTATAATGAATAGTAGATATTCTTTAAGGATGTTTAAAACAAAATTACAAAAGTTAAACTTTGTTAAAATTGCTAAAGAAAAGCTCTAAAAATAATCACAATAACTTAAGCAAACGAAGAAATAGGGAAAGTAAAATGAGAACACCAGACCAATGCTGTTAATAAAAATAGAATTAATATTGAAATTGAAGAAAACAACATAAAAAAGGTAAAACTACAAAGACAAAACAAAAATTAAACTGAAAAATTAAAAAAAAAAACTAAAAAAAATTTTAAAAAAATGTAAAGTAAAAGTAAAAGTGAAAGAAAGTGAAAGTCAAAATAAAAGTTAAAATAAAATTAAAAGTAAAATTACGGTTGTAGCGGCTGTATCCATATTACTAATAGACTAGTGCAAAAATTAAAACCCACAAATTTAATTTTGCATTTATTTCTGTTAACTCAACATTATGTTAAATGATAATGTTATTAGCTATGTAAACATAGCCTTAGAAAAGAAGAATATGTTCAAAGCTCATCTCAAAAGCTTTTGTCAAAAGAGAAACTTCACTCAATTTGAATTACTTATAACTGTTGTCCTTCAATTTTTGATTTTATGAATTTTAGAACTCCGGTGTTTTTTTATCATTTGCCGTGTTTATTAAAGCCTAGACACTTGTAGACAATTATTGGCTCTAGTAGGCTGGTTTTACTAAGCACACAGGCAGGCGCGAACCACTTAGGGGAATCCATTTCCCTGAAAGGTAAAATAAAAATCAAAAACAAAAATTAAACTGAAAAGACCTGAAAATTAGAAGTGAAATTTCAAATAAAAAATAAAAGTAATAAAATAATCAATTCATTGGCAAAGGTAAGCAGAAGTTAAGATCTTTTGCCAAGGTTATTTCCACACTTCTCTTTTTGCAAAAATAAAGCGTATCCAAAATCCCTCCATAATCTTTGTAACCTATTTCCCTCTGCTCACTGTAAGGTACATAGACGAAAAGCCATCGTGGGTGAAATCTGTTGGTGACAAGAATGGTATCCAAAATCTCTCAATGGTGAAAATAGTGAAACGAAGCAACCTTTCCTTGCAAGTTTACCTTCATCTTGCCAAATTTAGAGCGATTTTCCCAAGCATCTTATTGAATAACTTGTGGCAGATCAGAACTGTTCGCCTTGCAAGAGCCAATAATCGAACAAGTCGATAGTATTCGATTGCGAGAGAAAGAGAAATTAGCGCTAATTTCAATAAAAGCCAAAATAAATTTTCCAAGCTTATGCTAACAATAGAAATAGCTGCACAAGGGAATAGAAAAATAATAAAATCAAATAAAATATTATCGCTTAAACCCAGCAAAGTAGCAGCAACGTGAAATGCCTGACTTATTGATGGAACTTTCACTTTGCTGCTGCTTTTCGACACGGGCAGGTAGGCAGGCATGCGCTCACTTCACTTTGTTTAAACTTTTGCTTTTCACTCTCACTTTTCCAACTAGGAAACCCTGCGCCAAAATGTTTACCACGTAGTTATACAAATATTTTGTATGCCTTCCCAAGCAATGGTTTAAGGGTGTTTTAACTCTGAAATGAGCGCTTCTTCCTCGAACTCCCTTAGAAACGGTATACGTTCTTCTGCTACAAACATTTTCTTTACATCTATCTATCTATCTGTTTGTAAATATGTAACTTATTTATTTTTATACGGTACTTGAAAAGCTTGTAATCTCACTTTTTTCCACACTTGCAGACTTGCGCCACTTAACAAGTAGGCAGTTTTCTGTTTAGTTACTATAATTGTTGTTGTTCTGTGCCAATTTAATAAATGAGTCCGAAGCACGCGATTGCCAAAATAGTTTAAAAATAATAAAAAAAAAAATACAATACACTCAAACATGTTGTTTTTGTAATGATTTTTGGCAATAATACTAAAGTGGTTTTTTCGGTAGTTTATGTGGATATTATACATACACGTATGTAATATGAGTATGCATATCAGCATTTGGTTCAATTCATACCAATATGTGCATGCGGCCTCACAAGCCGACTGGTTGGCTATGCGTATTGCCATTTTGAATGCCAACATCCAAAATTATAGAAAAATTATTTTTCTACCTGCTGACATGATGTAAAAGCTTCTCACAAAAATCCATCGACAGTTCAGAAAAGGCTTATAGTAATTAACTGTCGGTTACTTTATTTGTTGGAAGAGAACATCAAAACACAAATTGTAAGAAAAGTTTGACAGGAGTTTGCTGCGTCAATTATAATACACCGTTTACTATATATAAATATATACTGATATATATATGAGTGTGAGAAACTTAGGTTAGAAAATTTATGGTGGTATTTCACGCCAAAAAATTGAATGGAATACAACAAACCTAAAGCGGTGAAAAAAACAGAACGCAAACCAAAATAAATTTGTAAGAAAATATGGCAACCCACTGGCATTCATTATTATGTTATCTTCCATTGTATAAACTTTTAACAGTTACTTAGTCTGAATAAATCAATCTTAGTATGTAGACGTGTGTTTTACTCTCGTGTGTGGACAACAGGCAGAAGTATTACCTGACAATTTAGAGGAAAACCAAAATAATTGCAATTAAATATTATTTATTCAAAGTAAAAAAAAATATTAATTCTATAAACAAAATAAAATATAATTAGAAAAAGCTACACCACAAAAATTATATACAATTAAATAAAAATAATAATAACAATACAAAAAATTTAACTTTAAAAGCAATAAAACAAAATAAAACAAATTTAAAAATCAAAATTAAATTATGCAAAGTAAGATTAAATAAAATAATATAGAATAAATAAATAATAAAAGAAAATAATACAAAATAAATTAAAGAAATTTAAATAAAATGAAATTGAGACAAATTAAAATAAGTTAAATAAAATCACATTAAAATAAATTTAATAAACAAAATATTTAGTAGTTATTCCTATAAAATTGAAATTTTTAATCCAATTTTCTTTTTCTACTTTTATTTTTATTTAAAAAATATGAATTATTATTTGTTGTTTTATAATAAGGAACAATAATGTCCGCTCGCCATTAATTGTAAAGCAAATAAAGGGTGCGTTTTATTGAAATACTCCGCTTTACGCAAAGTATAAATACACCAAAATGATTATGAACTCTTAAACAATAATTTAAAAATAACGAAGAAGGGAAATGGAAAAAATGAAAATATCTTCATATATTTCCAAACTGATTACATGCACATATATATTAATGTAAATTTTTATGCGAGCTTCCATATAAATGATTGAAAATACTGGTACATAACAATGGCAATCGTATTTACATATGTACTTATTTAATATTTATTGTTGTCGAAACGTAAATCCATTATCATATAAACTAATTGACGTTTAACATTTACGCCAAGTATATGCAACCAACTATTCAGTTACAAAGCACACCCACTGCGTTTTTATCGAGCACATACATTTACTCGTATGTATATAAATAAGGTATCCCAGCAGGAAATGTTTCAAGGCAGTTGGATTGTGGTAATAAATACTTTTATTGTACTTAACATGTAAATGTAGATGACTTTTCTGTACAGCAGTGAAATATTGAAAATTTAAATTTATTTTAATTTGTGTGTATTCATATTGAAATAAATTTCTTAATATATAAAGCGATCTGACGATATCTAAAGTACATCTGTGCGGAATTTTGTTAAACTGCACTATATTTTCATAAATTAGCACACTGAGGGTTTACTACAGCAAGAAACATCAAACCCATTGAGCTTTCGCCACGCTTCTACTTGCATGTATAATACATAGCTTTGTTGATAAAGGCATGTAGCAAAACTTTGTACGTGTATGTACATATTTCAGCATATTTGATTGACATATTAATTGCGTACGAAATTCTTGTATACTTTATTTTAATACTTGGCTGTCATAAATACATTATCTACTACTTTAGCAGATGTTAAGGACTGCAATTTGTAACACACATATGTACGCTAAATATTTATTTTTGTTGTTTTGTTTATTGATAAATTGTGCTTTTTGTTTTGCTACCGCAGTACCCAAAATAACATATTTTATTATGAAATAAAATTTTTCGAACATATTCAATATAAAACTAACTTATTTAATCAAAAAATTGATTTTAGTGGCTTATGTAATGCAAAAAGAATAAAAAAAAAAAAACAAAATACAAAATATTAAAAATTTAATAAAATAAAATGAAATTAGGTAAGCGAAAAATTAAAATAACATTGAATAAAGTTGAATCAAATTATAAATAATTAAAAATAACAGAAAATTAAATAGATAAAATAAAATAAACAAATATATTGAATAAAAATAAAATAAATGAGTAAAACAAAATAAATAGAACTATTACCTTAAATTTATAATGAAGAATTCTTGCAAATTTACTTAATAGTTTCTTTACGTGTATTTATTTTTTTGTAGAATTATTTTTGTTAATTTTTATCTCCTGAAATTTGAAAAAAAAAATAAAAATCTGAGCGCAATGCTGATCTGAGCCGCCTCCAAACGGCCGATGGGTTTTTAACTGAAACTTTTATTTAACGTCTGAAATACGCTAGGAGGGCGATAGGAGATCGCAATTGGAAAAATTTATTTTTTATAGTTTTGAATATTGTTCGCACCAGAACCCGAACCCGGGCCCTCCAAATGGCAGTACTCAGTGCGGCTGCAGATACTTGATATTAAAGTCAGGTTTCCTTTTCAATGCGGAATAATAATTTTCTGCAATAAATAAACAATGTAAGCTTCTACGTAAATACAGTACTTACAGCTCTTTGTTTATTCAAAGTCTGTAAAAGAGTTAGCAGTATTCTTTGCAGAACTAAATTTTGAACTTAAAGCAAATTTTCCC